CCCAAACCCTAATCACTAAACCCTATACCAAAATCCCCTAAACCCTAATCCCTATCCCCTAAACCCCAAACCCTATTCCCTAAACCCTGAACCCTAACCCCCTAAACCCTTAAACCCCAACCCAACCCCAGTCCCTAAGCCCAGCTGCAGAGTTGAACGTCCTTGAGCAAGTTGGCGTCTTGGTCAGAAGATGAGAGCCTCCGAGGATGACGAGGACACTATTGGGGGTCCTCAAAGCGGAGGTAGTGGATAGAGATTATGTAAGGCTTATTGGTAGGGATAACATATATGTATATATGGTAATTAGGGATAACATATATATAATATATATATATATAGCGTTTGTATGGGGATTACTTTCAAAGCTCAGAAAACTCCGCTTGCAAAGAAACAAATGCAAGCACGATGAACTCACATCAACCCCATTAAGCCATTAAGCAAATATCTTACAGGGCTCGGTGGCTTTAGCAATATCGAATTGCTTTTTCTTATGTTGGTATTTTTCGAAATAAGGGTTCCGCTTGCGCACCCCAAAGCACCAGCATGGTTTTAACGCAGATTCGCGATAGAACAAACATGCATATACAATCGAGATCCAAATCCTTATGGCCAACGGCTGCTCTGAGTACATTGAAACCGTTCAAGGCACTGGTGCCCTGGGGATCATGCGATGTATTTGGGTCATGCAGGGACTCTTTCGCGTGACCCCCCCCGAACTCCTAAACCCTCAACCCCTAAACCCTTGACCCTAAACCCCCAAAGCCTTCTCCCATATAACCCTATATACCCCCCCTTATAACCCTATATACCCCTAAACAAACCTTAAACCCTAAACCTCTAAAGCCTTCTCCCATGTCGGCTCATGATTCCCGGCCTTCGTGCCAGGATTCCCACGGCGTTTGATCAACACCGCCAGCTTGCCCTTCCTCCGATAGGGCTAGGATTAAGGGTTTAGGGATTAGGAGTTTAGGGGTTTAGGGGTTTAGGGTATATAGGGCTAGAAGGGAGTATATAGGGTTATAAGGGGGTATATAGGGACCTTAGAAGGAGATTGCCCCAGTAATGAAGAATCAAACGGAAAAGAACATGGAAACTGGAGCTCATATTGGGGTGAAATAACTCCTCTCTGCTAGGGAATGAAGCAATGAACAAGAAAATAGAAACTACTGTATGGTTTGGGGCTTATACAAGATGTCATGCGACTCTCCAGAAGCCGGTCGCATGTGGGCAAGCTACAAAGCATACACATGGAGGAGGGTTCAGGGATTAGGGCTAATAGAAAATGCAGCAACGAAAAGAATATGGAAAATACCAGATCTTGCAGATGTTATAAGGACCAAGGTATAGGATTCATTCCTGACAACCATTAAGCACATCATTCTGGCCGGGAGAGCTCACGGCGCACCCTGAAAGAGGCCACTTTGGGAGAAAGGATTCATTTCAACCAACTTGGTTGGTTGAGGACGATAAAGTTTGCCCAGACGATTTTGCAATGTAGGTGCCGTTCTTTGTCGTAGTGCGGCATCTTGCCGTAGGAGGTGGTGGTGCCAAGAATGTCCATGAGTACTTATAGGCCCCTGCAGTACATTTGCCGTAGCTTTTCGCAAATTATGCTCTGCAAGTGCAGCTACTTCTTGCATGTGTCTATCCCAGTATAGCAGGGCCGGAGGCAAAGGTTCACACCCAGAAGCATATCCATCCGGCCGTGCGGAGCAGCGGAGCTGTTCATGATTATGGCCCACAAAGCGATGACCGCTGTGGCGGTTGGTATCAGCACATGAAAGGATCCTGCCTACGAAGCTCTCCAAGTTGGGGTCCCGGCATTTCAGCCAGGCCACACGTATCTCACGTAGCAGCAGATAGTACGCGTCCCAGTCGTCCGTCCCACCAAAGAACTCTGGTATGACTATAACATCATCGTGACCTTGGTTGCTTCCCTCCTGCCCCAAACAATTAGGGAAAGTCATTGAACATCAAGAGCGGTCACTTGAAGGTTCATGGGCTTAAATTTGGGTACTGGTAACCCACCATTTCTCAGAATGACAAGTTCATTTCGCGGGTCACTACTTGAAGGAACCCATTTTGGGACATGAAAGAGAGACCAACACTGTGCGAAATGCCCACATCGAGCTTATATGAAGCGGGTAGAAGAACCTTGGCATTTGCCGTACGTATACTAATACTTCTTATAGGGACCCCAAAATTGAAGCTCTAACTTTGGGAAACCCTAATCCCTATGAACTCCTACATAAACCTGGATTCCATGCCCCTATATAACCTTATCTAGCCCATTTGGAAAATACCCATGTTGCTTCAGACTCACATCTTCGTTTTCGCGTTGCATCAAAATCTACCAAAACCCCACATGGTAGAATTTGGTAGTTTCCCCAAATAGGGGGACCCTAGTATAGACCGTAATATACTATAATCCTTAATATGGGGACCCCCAAAAAGGTACCCCTAATTTTGGGAAACCCCCATTTAGGGTCTTGGGATGACAATCATATGCTCCTTTCGGGTGTCCTTCCTCTGGAACACAGCTAACGAGAGAGGGTCCCTAGCCTCTGGGCTTTGGAGCAAGTTTTGCAAAGGTTCCAACGAAGCTCAAGGTGGGAGCGGTCGGAGTCTCAGTGGAGCGCATGATAACCAGTCGTTCTGCGTGCAGGCGTTTATGTCAGGATCTTTTGTGTGAATGCTCCTGTGCAAACAAATGTAAACGTTGCAGCTTTGCACTTCTGCGCAAGCTTTAAAAAGTGGCCGGCTGTGATTTAGCAATGCTGGTTGTAAATCCGCTTTTTGGGAAACCGCGACAGGTCCCTAACAGAATAGTTGCGCGGCACATGCGAACTGTTGCTTGGGTGTGGTCGTACAACCCCCTAGCCTCAAAAAGTAACCCTAAATCCATTGCTCATCACATCATCACATCCAAACTGGAAACGTCACTTATAATGTGAACCCCGACACAAAAACCTAAATTTGCAGACACGCCTCCTCCATACAACTGATCTGAAAGTATGAGTCCAGATGCTACAGCAATTGCCAACTACAAATATAGATTTCTAACCCTAAAAAGCTTGAGTTTCAGATGCAATTGCCAATAGACATGATCAAACCTTCTAAACGCCTCGGATCCAACAGTGCCACACCCTAAGCCCGAAACCCTTGCAAGCTGGTTGTAAGTTCACCCTGTGTGCGTCTCCCAGTTGTGCATTCTACCTTGCGGAGTCTGCACGGGTTGTTTTTTTTGACTTGTTTGCATGTTAACTATAGTCTATACTCTTAGTATCCTCCCTTCATAAGCCCATAATACTCACTACATAATATCCTATATGACCCCCATTAAGGAGTTAAGGCTACATGTACCTCACGCAAATTTCTTTGTTCTCCCCTCGCCCCAATTGCTGGAGTGGCTCTTTTAAAACGGGTGACGCATCCAGGAGCACTCCAGAAAGCCAAGCGTAAACCTGTAGTCCCCCTTCAGTAGATAGAATATACGGGTTAGGGTTTAGGGTTATAGTCCCCCTTCAGTAGATAGAATAGTGGGGTATATGGAGATCTTGTTATAATATACGCAAAAGCCATAGTCTATCTGGCCACCTTTATGTTACCTTAAACAAACTCAATTTGGGAGTATCGTCTATAGGGTTCAAGGTGAGGCCAGGTGAAGCCCCAAGATAGCGCCGATGCTGAGGCTGCCGCTGATGGGACTCAACTTTCGGGCATCCTGGCGGGTGACCCGAATGCGCATAGCAGGGCGATGCAGCGGGTCCCCCAGCTGAATATCCACCGGCACCTTGGAATGAGTCTTGAAGGCAAGATTAAGAAGAAAGCTTCAGCACATTGAAGTTCAGATCCTAGCTAGAGCTACAAGCACTTTCGAAGTTCAGGCCCTAACTCGGAGAGTGGAAAATCAAACATTATGGCGAGCACTCTTCGCAGGTACTTCGCTGCCATTCTCTATATTGCCGCGGTGGCTTTACAACTGCCAGCCTAGCAGTTCTAGCAAATCGAGCCTCAAGCCATCAGTTGGTGCTGCCACCGACTTGGGGTAATTACCAAAGACCCTCGTCATTTGGCATGCTACGCCCTGAACCCTGAACCCCTAAACCCTAAATTCATCATCTAGGATGCCCCAGCCCTAAGCAACATGTACCAATGCACCTCATGACCCAAGATTTATCCTAACCGCCATCACGTGAACCCCAACAGTTTTGTTTAGGGTGTAGGGTTTAGGGACTAGGGTGTAGTGTAGGGTAGAATCATAATCTCTTTGGTTTTTTGATAACGGATTTTCGGCCATTGTTTTATCTACTTTGTGGGTTGAGGTAGTCCCAACTAAGATCTGGCAAGGCACCGGATGGGGCATCATGGCTGCCAACTTCCTCCTGCCACACAGCAAACTCCCCATGAGGCCTCTATCTTAATGAGGTTTATGGTCTTCATCAACCACATGGAGTGCAACAATTGTAGCCAACTTGTGAAGACTCTGCAAAGGGGTGCGCCCTATCTGTTCCGTGGAAACCACATGTACATCCCAGTGGTTTTCCTGGATCTTGGTGTCAGACTATCTGGACAAAGCAGTTGCCTGGATTCCAATTCCGCATCTCCCCGAACCAGTTCCAAATATTCTGCAAGGACGCCAAAAGTGCAACCCGAATCAGCTCAACACTCAGGGGTTCATGGACCCCGTTGTTCTACATAGGGTGATCAGCTATTCCCCCTCATAGGAGAATGACTTGCCAGAAGTTCTCCTACTTTTAACCCCACTCATAATGTAGACTCACGATTAATACACCCCCTTCCCTTCATTGTAGAGAATATATATTATCTTGGGGATCCTAATATTGAGGTCCTTAAAGGGGAGGGTCTATTAGTTTATTAATCAGGGATCTACAAACCCTAAACCCTAAACCCTAAACCCTTAGCCCTGCTATACTCCACCCTAAGCCGTTTCGGCCTTGACATTCCCCAAGGACTGCCGAGGATGATCCACGAGATCAAGCCGTGACTCCAGGTCTCCAGGGTCGCGCGCTGGCACTCCCACCCTTGGGACACGCTTTAGGCTTTAGAGCTTTTGAAATTTCAGGTAGGTGTAACCCTATAAACCCTAAACCCTAAACCCCTAAACCCTAAACCCCTAAACCCTATAATTAGGTCCCACCATCCTTGCTTCTACACCTCCTCAACTGCTGCCGACATGATCCGAAATCAACCCTAAATCCTCGCCGATGAAGCTTTGTCTTGTCGTATACAGCAGCCCTCAGCCATGCTAAGCTAGCCTCCACCCAAAACACAATACCCCAAACCCCGAATGATACATGTTCTCCAATATCTTGGGCTACTATGTTAGAGGGATTGACACGGCAGTGTCCGAATATGGGTAAAGCCCAGTGTAGACCTCAATATGCTGTGATCCTTATCATGGGGGCCCCCAAAATGGAAAACCCCCCATACTCGGGGAGATGACCACAACTTGACTTCAGTGGGTTTGCCATGCGAAGCCAAAGAGCTGGTCAAAGACCCAGAGCTAACCAACTGGAGCGCACCTGCGTGCAAACCCCATTTGGCGGGGAGAGGAGCCGGGGGGCTGAGGAGGGCTGATGGTTAAGGGATTAGGGTTTAGGGTTTAGGGTTTGGGCTTAAGGGATTCAGGTTTTAGGGATTCAGGGTTTGGGGGTTCAGAGTCAAGGGATTCAGGGTTCAGGGATTTCTGTTTCAGGGATTCAAGGCTTTTGGCTTTGGATTTGCCAGCTGTCCACAAATCGCCTCCCACCTTCGTGGAAGACCACTTGAGTGGTGTTTTTTGGTGGTTGAAAGAATACTAAATACATACACTTGGGGCCAGCACTCATCCGCGCAGGGCGGGTGGGGTGGGTTCCATGTGTCCGCACAGCGATCTTACGACTCGTGTCAAGCTGGCAAGCACCCAAAGCAAGGAGGATGCATGCGCATGTTTAGGGGTATACAGAGGGATACATAGGGTATAATGTACTGGCGAGTCAAATGGCCAAACACATGGACGATTTCATGGAAACTGAAGGTTTTATGGTGATATCTGAGGTTTAGGGTTTACTTGCAGGTTAGTCGTGCTCGTGTTTGCCGCATGCAGCAGAGTAGGGGAAAAGAGCGCGCAAGCGTAGTCGGGATGTCTGAAAGGTGCTCTTCAAGGTCTGGTTGAAAGAATTCAAAATGATCAGGTTATTCCTGTAGCATTTCCTCGCCGACTTTTCTCAGAGCCCTGCAGAGAGGACTTGTACCACATTTGCCAAAATTGCTTGCTAGACACCACCACATGTGCATAGCCACAAAAGACTGCAGCCAACATACTTGGCGAGCTGGGATACATGTCAACGTTATCATAAAAGGAACGGAACATGTCGCCGGAGCACATCCCTTCCCAACAGGAACAGCCATACCAGTTCTCGTTTTGCAGCCAGCTCCTGGCAGTTGCTGCCGTGCAGCCCCACAGGCACTACGGATGCCATACATGCTCTGGCATATGCCGCAGCAAAGAAATAGGAAAGAAATTCAAGCTCCAAGTACACCCAAACTCTTACTACGTCCCAAGGCGTGGGTAACAGTCCAAAACTTTAATTCTCGCGTTCTACCCCACCTCCCTTCATCAGCAACTAGATCACACACCGTCTAGAGCGAAAGACGGAAAATGAAAGAACTCCAGCAAGAAGACCCGGAAACAATCTGCTGCACAGCTGAGAGCACTACTGTTTGCCAATGTCCAAGTCGATTCACGCCTAATCCAAGAATCAAATCACAACAACAAAGCCCGACGAATCCTTAATTCCTGGAAGTTTGTGCATATAAGCCGAGCAAGTAGCCATTTCTGCATGGAATGGCCACGTACTCCTTGTTCCCTGGACGCTGCAGTCGGAATTCACAAGTGCCGCCGAAGACCGCATGCCTTACGGCGGTTAAGAATTATGGGGAGCTGATACCGTTCCGGCTTGCTTGCTGTTCGATCAGGATTGTTGAATGATTCAACACATGATTTCGGAATGCATGGAGCACTGTTGACTACTGCATCTTCAGGACCCCTATGCTGTGTAGAGAAGGGCCCATGCCGTTACAAAAGCTTCGCCACTAAACTGCCTTAGTACGCATCGTGCAGGTCAAGTCTCACCACACTTTCGTACCTCCCGGAGCTCTGCATAGCATCGAAGTTTGGACTCTTCACTGTCCTCGGGCAGGTTGCAAGCGAGGGAAAGCGCCAAAGCCTACACTGTGAGCATTGAAACCTCATCCCTCTGCAGTGCACCACACCACGCCCTAGACCCCAAAACCCTGAAACCTGTCTCACGAGGTGTCCTGCATACATTTGCAGTCAGAGCCCTGCGGCCTTCATTGCGCTTAAGCCCACACAGTGCTCATGACTTGCCACGGCAATCATGCTACTCTGTCCGCCCATGAGCTGGGCTGAAGTTTCGCTTTTAAGGGGTTTGGGCATGTAGGGTTTGCAAGTCTACCATGCAGGAATGAAGGTATTTGCAGTCTTGCGACGCAGGATTTTAATGCTTCCAGGCACGCCATGCGGCTGTAGGGTGCTGTGGGTGAGCCCTCTTCCGAAAAAATTGCATCTTCACCGTCCCAGCCACTAGACGCGAAATCCTAAATCTGCAACATACATGGGGTTTCCTAAAAATAGGGGGACCTTCATGGGGGTCCCAATAATGAAGATCATAGTATTTTGTGGTCTATATTGGGCCCTCTTTTTAAGGGAAACTACCGCATGGTGCCCGGCTGCCGCCGAAGGTGCGAGGTCTTTTGGTGTTTCTGTGCTAACACGAGGTCTACAGTTTTTCGTGCACAGTTAGGAGAATGCAGTCTGGGAATTCACCCGTCCAAGCTGTTCTGTCCCTAGAAATCTTACGGTTAATCCGAAAACCCAGAACCCTAAATCTATAAGTCCAAGAATCAGAGCAGGAGCTCCTGGCTGTTCATGCCAGGTTAAGCAGCAACCACAATTCTCCAGATCCAAGCGGAAATACCTCCACTTCATCATGGAGAGCTAGGAGCATCAGAGGCGGGGGGGATGTATTCCTTACATAAGGGCTTAGTGAAGACTGAAAGACATTTTCTCCGGACACCTTGCCTCCATTATCCTCCCCTAGCTCGGCATGAGTTCGTGTTGCTGCATTTGCTTAGCTCATGGTCCCATGGACAGGCAAAAACATTGCCTACAAGTCTTGAAAAACTCCCTGGGTTCGGCCAAGTCGGCTCATGATCGCCCTGTGCAATGGTCCCTCAGATTTGTTTAGATTAAGATTCGGACAGAAGAGCATCCCAACAGTATTTTGGACATGTATATAGCACCCGAAAACTTCACGTGAACGCTCCACCTCCGTCTCATCTTGACCTGATTTCGTAAGGAGCCCAAACGGGACTCCGAATATGCGGGTGTACTTGTTTAGCACAGGTTAGCGCAGTCATGCACAGAGCGGCATTCTCTGCAAAGCAACGGCACCAACAAATACCATCATCTTGTCTATGTATGGCATCATCAGACTCATGATCCGTTACGCCCGCTACTAAATACTACGCCTGCTCCTCCTGCTGCTGCCGCCGCTACAAATGCTATGGCCGCTGCTCATTTTGCTACTGTAATGCTGCTGCTACTACTACTACTACTACTGCTACTGCTACTGCTACTGCTACTGCTACTACTACTACTACTACTACTACTGCTGCTACTACTACTACACCACCAGCAGCACCACCACCGCCACCGCCGCCACCACCGCC